GTTTGTGCCTGAAATTTGTGCTTGAATTTGTGCCTGAATGCTTGCAAAGACATCCAACTATTTAATTGGCCTAAAAAAAGGTATCACATTTACCCAAATAACCTTATCAGCATAGGCAGTAGCTGTTTAAGCTTAACTCATTCTTCTTCCCATATAATTCAGCTGTGATCTTAAATAAACACCCGTCAGATGAGGAAAGACTTTAGTTTTTGGGGCTTTCTCAGGTTTTGATATCCTGCCTACCTACATAGAAATAATTGCCCTAGAGCTGAGGTGCCTTTCTGGAAAGCTGAAGCATAATGTGGGGGGAAAAAAGGGTACCCTGGGCAACTATCTCTCACTCATCCCGTCCGCCTCCTCTCCTACCTCTTCCATTGCAGGTGCGGGTACGGAGCAGGAAGCTGAGAAGTCTCTGGGAGTGCAAGGTGTTCTGGGAATTAGTTTTCTAGACTGGCAGTGGAGTTTGCTGCTGGGGGGAGGGAGCAGGCTTTCTTCCCATTTTGAACCATTGAAGCCCATGTCCAGAAGGGGGGAAAAAAGGTGACTTCAACAGCAAAAAATGAGGGTCAGTTTTCCCCGCAGCAGCAGCTGCAAACCCTAATGCTGCTCTACAAATCTACGATTCGCAGAACATCTTTTGCTCTATGGCACATGGTATCTGGGCTGGCAATATAAGCAAGCAGGTGGCAGGTAGCAGAGGCCAACAGTACCCCTGTGGGGCGGGGGGGGGGAACTATCTCCCTTGCTGGCTCCCCTCGCTTTAGGTGGGGTCTGTGGGTGTGCCCCTGCTTGTCCGCTCCAGATTATACCACTGCTGGAAAGGACCGCCAACAAGGGAGACAGTATCCAGTTTGGGCTGGTGCCTCTTCTGGTAATGATTTCTGGTTTCTGGACCTCTGTGCCACTAGGGGATGAGACCACCAAGTCTCTGTGTTCCAGTGAGAACAGCTGTCCCTTGAAAACAGGATACTGGATTGATTCCTGAAGAGTCCCCTAAAACAATTGAAGGATCAAACAAGGTGTGGATCAAATTTTGTTGGTTTGATGTTTGCAGTTGCTTCAAATTGTCCAAATATTTAACATATTCCATCAAATCCTATTTTAGATTAAGTTAGTTAACTCAAAAGTCCCAGTTTCCATCGTGGGTTGGAGCCAATCAAGTTAGTGCCAAAGCCTATACAATACCTTGACTATGTTGCAGCTTGTATGGTATCAGAACGGTGTTTTCACAGTGGTTACATAGCTGTTGCTCTGGTGAAGAATGATATGGCTGCTTACAAAACTCTCAGACTGACGTCTGTTTTTTTTAATGTAATAATTATACTATTCAGGGAGCTAAAGGCAGGCTTTGCTTTAATGGATTCCTTCAGCTGACGTTTTGCTTCATACAGATGGGTAATTGTTTCCAGCTATTGACGCCTGTGTGGCTTTGGATAGAAGGACCTCCTTTTTTTCCTTCTATGTCTACTGGAGCAAGAGAAGAATTTTGTCATCATCATCATCAAGCTGCCTCTCAGCAACTTTCACTGAAGGGTTTTCTTAGAGGTTCAGAGCATTGAAGAACTTAAAAAAAATTGCTTTCAGTTTTCAGCTGCTCATTTACTGTCTGCAAGGAAACACACAGTGCTATGATTCCTTACCAAGAAGAACATTCACATCATCTGGGTAATGAAACACTTTCCCCAGGGTCTACAATTGCAATATGTTATGTTACTGCACCAGAGTGATGGAAATCACAGTGCAAGAACTGGGTCTCACTTCAGAATCTGATGTTCTGAAAATCTTCTCCAGGTGCAGGGCTAAAAATAACAGTTGGATAACCAATGTTTAGGTTGTTTGGCTTTAAAATCCAAGCACTTATTCAGACCTCTTGGGTTTTTAAAAGTAGGTTTTGCAAGAGCTGGCTTTCTGGCAATTCATTCTGAACATATAGACCCAGATTTTGAAGTTCTTCCTCGTGTTTATTCTGAACTGAAGCTAGACAGTCATTGATTCCAATGAGAATTTTTCTGAATAATGCCTAAGCAACACTGTCTGGATTAAGCCCATAGAGAGCAGAGTATTTTGGAGCTTTTCTTTCTGTATGATTTTACAGTATTCTGGTTTTTCTTTGGACCAGAAGAAAATACAATAAGATGTTTTTGAAACTCAAAAAATATTCAGGTTCAGTTTGGATTTGAATTTTTATTTGAAGGATGGGTCCAGGCAGCTCTTAGCCCACGTTCAGCAACTGGGCAAAGAAGATGCCAGGAACATAGGTGAATACATGGGTTTGCCAGACTTAATGTCACATGTGTCCAGGGAACAATCTTAGCTCTCGATTGCTTGCTTTTCCACACTTCTACATATAGGAAGTTTCCAGTCAGGCAAATCAGCGTCCTTTCTACTGCACGTTGGTCCCTTGGCTGGATGTCCCTTGGCAAATAGGGTGCTATGTAATGTTATGTGCCCTGTCAAATGACCTTTATTCAACATGTTCTATATTATCCCTTTCTTTCTTGTCTAGCTCCGGGCATGATAAAATTATCTTCTAAAAATAACACTATTTATCAAGTGCATGATTTTTGTTTTGCTTTTCCCTCAACAAGGTCATATTTTGATTAATGCACAGGAAGTTAAGGCCTGCTTTGTTCAAAAATAATTGTCAGTGGTGTTGCTGTCACTTAACATCTAATGGAAGAAAAAGTGTTAAAAGGCTCTCAGCAACAAAACAGGATGTCAAAATCTAGTTGGTTATTGGTAGTGGCTTATGTAGTTCTGGAGTCTGTTGGTAAGTGTGGATCTGGCTCTACCAGCTCATTGCTATAATTAGTGCATAGGGGAGAAAGAAAGCAGAGAAATTTTCCAACGTGTATCGAGGAAAAAGAGTCTGTATTCCTACCTACACCAATTAAATGGAAATGGCATTTACAGGATAAATTGGAGAACCATCGGATAAATCTGGTACCCTTTACTATTTTGACAGCTTACTTTTCTGCGTGCGGATGTGTGTGTGTATGTCTCACTCCCCCCCTCCT